CAGACGAGGGGGGGGGGTTGGGGTGTGTGTGTGTGTGGGAGTTAGGGTGTTAAAGGGACCTGGGTGGAGGGAGGCTTAGGGCAAGAGTGGGAGAAGAAGGTGCAAATAGGGGGGGCGCGGAAAGAGGGGGGGAGGAAGAGGTAGTGGGGGAGCATTTGAGGCATCAGGGTAAGGAGGGAGGTTATACTTGGGCGGAGATGACTGTGAGGAGAGACAACCCAGGGCCTAGAGGGGCTCATCTTGGAGGCTGGTGAGAAGAGGACAGAATGCAAATGAGAAGGGCGAACAAAGAGAGAAGGTGGGAAATGGATAGTTGATGGGGGACCAAGTGTGTTAGAAAGAGTGCTGTGGGTGATGGTTTGATGTTGGAGAGTGAGGAGAAGGAAGACGCGTGTCGAGACAGGTGGTGTGTCAAGCCCTGAGGAGTTGGAGGGGCACCACGGGAGCCGTACAAGGTGTACCTTAGGTACTTGAAGGTTTTCCAAAGGCTCCACTGTGTGTTATTTATCTTTGTTATCTCAACGTCCTGTAAGGCAAACCTGCGTGTGATGAAGCTGACTGAGGTTTATTCATTTAAATGAATAGGTTGCCTAGTCAGCTTGCGGTCAAAGCAGAGGCTTATATTTAAGAATAAAAGTAATGATGGGGTAAGAGTGAAAGAGGCTTTGGGTGGATGGGAAATGCCTAGCAGCAAAGATGCCTAGCAGCAAAGCAAAGAGGTGGGATTTAGCAGGGGCTCAGTAGGGGAGTTTCTGAATAGGCTGGGGGCTGAACGGCGTAAGTGTGGCTTGGGGGGGCAAGGAAACAGAAATCAGCTGCAGAACTGGGAGGGGTGCCTGGGAGGAAAGAAAGTGATCTTATGAGTCTTCCTATTCCAGTTTAAAGAGGAGATCTCCAGGCGATTCAAAGCCAAACAGGATCAGCTGGTTCTGATCTTTGCCGGGAAGATTCTGAAGGACAGCGATACACTGAATCAGCACGGGATCAAAGATGGACTAACAGTGCACCTGGTGATCAAAACACCACAAAAGTAAGAAGAAAGTTCATCCTGGAAAGACAGGATAGTTAAATTAGCTAAAGTTGTGAGCGTGCATAGATTTCCTTTCGTAACTTGGCGTAATAACAATTTTTACTGGTTTTGGATCTTTATGCATAAAAGCGACATGTGAATTGGGAAGTCAGTGGTGATGTGAGTGGTGTGGAAGCCACCAGTTTCAGGTCGTCTGTTGTGTGCGTCAGCAACGGCCCTTTTGTCTCCTGGAAGTTCCACGGTCGTCGTCTTAGGCTGCGCTGGTTGCTTTGGTGCCATGATTTCATTGGTCTCCTTGTGGCTCTTACTCCAGTGGCCTGAACAGTTGTTGCCTGTCAGGTTCTCCTTCCTCATTGCTGCTAAGACGAGTTTGCTTTTCTGACACATCACCTCATTACATAATGGCGCTTGAGGCAGTTTACAAGAAGGTAAAAATGGCACCATTGTAACAGCATCAAATAAAGCATCAATAGTACTCTCGGTCATAATAACAAGGTCAGTCCCTAAAGTTGACTCAAGCAGCTGCGGATTAAAATGAAACAGAGTTGCTGGACCAACTAGTCAGTTATTGGCCAAGTGTTTTTAAAGGAATAATACAGAAATTATTTCAGATAGTACGTTCGACATTTAATTTAGGTTTTTTTCTAATTAGTTCAGCATGGAACAATGACATTTACAGTCAGTAAAAATTATAACAAAATGTAACTTTTAGCAACAGTTACTATCAATGCTTGAATGTTTGAAGGAAAGATTGAAGGTCAAAGAAGACGGGGACGGCAAAGGATGAGATGGTTAGACAGTGTCATAGATGCAACGAACATGAAACTGAGCAAACTTCAAAGGACGGCGGAAGACAGGAGGGCCTGGCATGATCTGGTCCATGGGGTCGCGAAGAGTCGGACTCGAGTGTGCGACTGAACAACAGCAAACTATCAATGCAAATGATTTGAGCTGTGCTTCACTTTGGTGGTTTTTTCCTGTTTAGTCTACATTTCCCTTTGTCTTTTAAATGACATTAGAGCAAATACCCCCCCCCCCCAATGAAAAGCTGCTGTTAAAATCCGTGTTTGGAAATGCTTGCAGTTCTCACAGGTGGTCAGGAGGAGGTGCTTCATGTTGCTCAGCTCAGGTTTGCCTCTGCCTGCTACAGGGCTGGGGAAGTGGAGCGGGTTGGGGAGCAGTATCCATCCTGGCCTTCCTAATCCATGAGACCATCATGCAGTTAAAGCAGCAGTCTCCTTGATCCCTCCCCCTTACACAGTGACATTCTTGGGTTTTTGGAATACTTGACTGGTTGTTGCACCCCGACCCTAGTGAGAAGTTAGGAATCAGACAGCCTTTGAAAATCGTCTTACGACCTTCAGCTTTGAAGCACAGGTGATTTCGACTGAGGGAGAGCATGATTGCAAGGGCCAGAGATGGATTTTGCAACAACTGCAAAAAAAAGAACCCCAAAACCAGTCTTTGCTGCTCTTTATCCAAAATGGGTGCAAAAGTTGGCAGCTTTTGCATCGACGTGTTCGTGCCTGAGCCGCTGTTCAGCTCTAATGTATTGTTGCTGAATCTGGGGAGGAACATGATGTCCTTTGTGTACGCTGTTCATTTTGTGGGTTTGCTAACGTATACATGTGCAATGTCCCAGCTGTTAAGGGCCAGTAAGGAATTGTATTTTTAGAAAATGTTGCAAATTCCACATCTCCACCAGTAGGCCTAGCTGTGTGGGGCAGTGTTTCCCATACTGCAAAAATGCGGGATGCTTGAGCACAAAATCCAGATCTCCCTGTGTTGCTGAATGTGAATCCTAAAACATGTGACACGTCGTGCAGGAAATGTTGCTTGGTGTTGCCTTGTCTTTTTTCAATCCAAGTTGTTTGAACCTGAGTCAGAACCTTTCCTTCCTTCCTTTCACCTCTCACTTGGTGTCATGCATAGGACTCAAGATCCCTCCACAGTGGCAGCAGCTTCATCTCCTCCTCCTCCTCCTGCCCCTCCTGCTACCACTACAACTGCTGCTGCTGCTGCTCCCTCCGTGGCTCCTGCTTCTCCTGCCACCCCATCGCAGCCTTCCACATCCAGCAATGTGCTCTCAGATGCCGGCAACAGCAGCCGAAGAAGCAGTGGGCTAGGGGCTGCTCCGGGCCCGACGGCGGAAGGGACACCTGGCGGCGCCACATCCATCTTGTGTGAGTCTTCCATCAGCTTGGGTGCCTGGTTTCTCTTTTTACACTACCAGGGAATTGGGAGGACTTAGAGAGTTTTGACTGTCATGATGTCACTTCTGGGTTTTGACTGGAGGTGATGCTACATGCTGATGTGCCCCGCCCCACCCCCAGTTTGGTATAGTGGTTAAGAGCACAGACTCTAATCTGGGAGAGCCAGGTTTGTTTTGCCACAGCTCCTCATGCAGCTGCTGGTGTGACCTTGGGTCAGTCACAAGTTCTCTCAGAGCTCTCTCAGCCCCACCCACCTCACAGGGTGTCTGTTGTGGGGGGGGGGAGGGAAAGGAGATTGTAAATTGCTCTGAGACTCCAAGTGAAGGGCGGGGTATAAAACTCCACTCTCTTTTCCCTCATCCCCCCCCCCCCCGCCACCACCGCCAGTGGGGGCTGGCGAAGTGCCTTCTAATGCCACTGAAGGTCCACAGATCCTCACCAGCTGCATACACATCCCTGAATGTCAGGATGGGGGGGGGGGAGCTTAGACGGACCATCAAGATGTTTAACACACTGCCTTAGCCTCACCCAAGTGCTTATTTGGCTACTGTCTCTGCTCCACAGAACAACATGGGTCAGGGCTTTTGCTATGGGCCTTTTCCAGTAAGCCAGCCTTGATGAGAGGTGATGGGGTTTTTTTTTCAGTGGGCAGGGTTTTTCCCTAGATCAGGGCATGGAGGCCAACTCTTCTTCCTCGTCCTTCCTTACCTCTCCTTTTTTTCCTCTGTCTCTCAGCTGGCTTTGGGGGCATCGCCGGGCTCGGCCACCTGGGGATGGGCTCAGCCAACTTCATGGAGCTCCAGCAGCAGATGCAGCGGCAGCTGATGTCCAACCCAGAGATGCTGTCCCAGATCATGGAGAACCCCCTGGTCCAGAACATGATGTCCAACCCGGACTTCATGCGGCAGATGATCATGGCCAACCCCCAGATGCAGCAGCTGATGGAGCGCAACCCGGAGATCAGCCACATGCTGAACAACCCAGAGCTTATGCGCCAGGTGGGTGGCTGTTCCTCTTTCCTGGTTGGCTAGGAAATTCCGCTTGTCTGCGTAGAATCCAGTCCAGATAACGATGCCAAATTGTGGGCCGTGCTAACCCTGGTATAGTAGCCAAGCATACATCTGGCAAACCATGGTTTAGAGTTGCTTGTCTGCCACTGTATTCACCAGTGTGGTGTAGTGGTTAAGAGCAGCAGACTCTGATCTGGAGAACCGGGTTTGATTCCCCCACTCCTCTTCCACGTGAAGCCTACTGGGTGACCTTGGGCCAGTCACAGTTCTCTCAGAGCTCTCTCAGCCCCACCTACCTCACAGGGTGCCTCTTGTAGGGAGAGGGAAGGGGAGGCGATTGTAAGCCACTTTGGGACTCCTTTAGGTAGAGAAAAGTGGGGTATAAAAACCAACTCTTCTTAAAAAGGATGTGGGCCAGATCATGTAGATGAGTTCTGTTAACAGTGCTGCTTTCCCCTGGCGCAGCCATGGGAACATGGGATCCAGCCCATTTGGTTTTCTATATGAAGCTGCCTTATACTGAACCATTAGTCCATCAAGGTCAGTATTGTCTACTTTGATTGGCAGCAGCTCTCTAGGGTCTCAGGCAAGAGGTCTTTCACATCACCTGCTCCCTGACCCTTTGAACTGGTGATGTGGGGGATTATACCTGGGACCTTCTGCATGCAAAGCAGAGGCTTTTCCACTGAGCCACAGCCCCTCCCTAGCAATGCTTCAACTGTTGCAACAAAGAAGAAGAAGAGATTGGATTTATACCCCGCCTTTCACTACCTGAAGGAGTCTCAGAGCGGCTTACAGTCTCCTTTCCCTTCCCTCCCCTCCCCACAACAGACACCCTGTGAGATAGATGGGGCTGAGAGAGCCCCGACTGAGAGCTGCTCTTGAGAGAACAGCTCTGAAATAACTTGGAACTGACCCAAGGTCACACTAGCAGCTGCATGTGGAGGAGTGGGGAATCACACCCAGTTCTCCCAGATTAGAGTCCGCACTCCAAACCGCTACACCAAACGGTCTTTGTCTCTGATCCCTTGGCCCCTGTTCTCACATCCTTCTGGGCCTCTCCTTCTTGATGCCCCCTTGCTGCAGAAGGCTTCATGTTCGTAGGGAGGCTGAAATTCATGCCTGGGTGTTTTTCCAGTGTCCCATGTGATCTGTTTTTTGTAGGCTTCCAGGAAAGCAAGTGAAGAGATTTCTCCTAACTCCCAGAAATTGTCACTTGCATGCTTGTTTTGAGTGGTGATGAGGGCCAGGGCCTTCTCTGTGGCAGCCCCATACTGGTGGAATGAGCTCCCGGAGGGCATCAGGGCCCTGTGGGACCTGTTACAGTTCCACGGGGCCTGTAAAACGGAGCTCTTCCACCAGGCCTTCGACTAGGGTGCCGCCACTTAATATCACAGCCCAGGCCCTAACATCAGCACCAACTTTAATAATCAACAGCCTGGTGGGAGTCCAGACTGTGGCAGAAATGACCGTCTGGAAGCTGAGAGTATACCGCCATCACTTATAAATACCTACTAATATTAATCAATATTTGTTGATATTAATGTTTACTGGCACTTAGATGATTTTATACGTTGTGACTTTATGAGTTTTAACTATTTTGCTGTTTTGTCTGTGAGCCGCCCTGAGCCTGCCTCGGCGGGGAGGGCGGGGTGCAAATTAAATAATACTAATAATAACTAACATGCCAGATCTGTGAAGTTATTCGGACTGCAGGCTTGGGGGTGGTCTGACCTTGGGTCTCGGGTTCTCACAGGGAAGAAATCCAGGGGTGGCCGGGCTTGCTCTGAGTCCTTTGCCCTTTCTTCTCTTTCAAGACTATGGAGTTGGCACGCAACCCGGCCATGATGCAGGAGATGATGCGCAACCAGGACCGAGCTCTGAGCAACCTGGAGAGTATCCCAGGAGGGTACAATGCTTTACGCCGAATGTACACGGACATTCAGGAGCCCATGTTCAGTGCTGCCAGGGAACAGGTACGCTAGGTTGGGCTTTGTGGAATATTTATAAATCGCTAAGCGGCAAAAAAGTCAGCACGAGCATTTCTGCCCTTCCGCAGCTTTGTTTGCATTCCGCATGTTTCCAGAATCAATTCAAGGTGCTGATTCCCTTCCCCTGAATGGGCTGTGCGTAGACTTCCTTTGGGTAGCATTTAGGCCTTTCCTCTTCAGGGCCACTCTTCTACTTTGTTGACCTTATTGGGGGAAGGTGAAGACCTTATTTGTTCTGTTGGGTTTTTATTGGTGGAGACTTTGTCGCTCAGGGAAATCGTAATGCTGTTGCCATGTTTTGGGGATATATTAACCCCAATAATGTAAATTTATTGTACCTACTTAATGTGAAAGTATTATAAATAAACAAACCAACGCGTTGGATCCAGTCTCTCCCCTCTGGTATGTGCGAAGTCATCCTGTGGGTCTGATCCATGGGTGTTTGTCCTCAGGTGCGTTTTGTCATAAGTTGGATGTTGTTTCCTTGTTTGGCACTTTGGGGATGCCTGCAACAGTAGGAAGTACCTTGCGGAATTCTCAGATGGGGCTTTTGATTTCTCTTGGGCTGATTGCGCAATGTCTTCTCTTCCTCTAGTTTGGCAACAATCCATTTTCTGCTTTGGCTGGAAGCTCTGACACCTCAACCCCCCAGCCTCTGCGGACGGAGAACAGGGAGCCTTTACCAAACCCTTGGAGTCCCACAGGCGCTTCTCAAAGCCAGGCGCCCAACAGTGAAGGGAGCACCAGCTCTGTTGCTCCCCAGAGCACGCCCACTCTGTCCAACCCTCTGGGGATCAATGCAGCCAGCCTAGGATCTGGTAGGAACATCTTAACATGGGTAATACAACCTCTGGGTGGGCAGGTTCAACAGCAGTGGTTATCTAGACAAGCTTGGCTATTCTGGCAGAGTGGTCGATTGCTCTAGTCAATTGCCGCGTTGCTTTTTGGTCCTGCATGGGGCTTAAGACATGGCTTGTAGAAGTCTTAAAACTGAAAAAACAAAAATAGTTTAACATCGCTATTAAGAAGTGTCCACTAAAAGATGTGGTGCTGTCAGTCAATCATACTCAGAAACCTTCCAGAACAAGGAAGTTCTCAGTTTTGTCTCGAAGGCCTGTAAAGATAGTATCCACTGCTCCTCCTTGGGGAGGGAATGTAACAGACTGGGGGGTCATCACTGAAAAGGCCCTGCCGCGAGTCTCCCCACTAGGCTCACTGCAGACGTGCCATGTCCCTGCAGCAAGGCCTTCTCTCATCAGTCTCATGACCCAGACAGTTTGATAGCCAGGGATGGTAATCCTTCAAGTGTTTTGAATTCAAATAATTTACTTTAGAGTATGAAAGATAAAATCTTATCCTTTGTTGGAGATTATGAAGATGGCTTTTTTAAAATGTTTTTTTATTTCACATTTTTTTCATCGAGGCAGCTGGCATAAGGTTGTGGCTCTAACTTGAGCCGACAAAATCAGCCATTCCTTTCTTTGTATCCATGGGATGGCTCCTGTTTCAAACTTTCCTGCCTCCTTCTCCTAGGTTTTTGTTGTCTTCTTTCCTGAAAAACTCTGGCTGCCCCACCCTGTCACATTATGGTATTTTTGGCTGTTGGCTCAGCCCAGGAACCTGAGGGAAGGTTCAAGAACCCCCTTTAATTTAAATGGCAGGCGTTTTGAAATTCCAAATTAACAAAATATTTTATTCAACATAGAGGGGGAAATCAGGTGTGAAACTTCTGAGATAACTCAATATAGAACTCTGAAGTAAATCTGTATATTCACGGACTTTAGTTCATATGTTTCAGGCTATTGAGAGTTTCATAAGCTTTTCCCTGCAGCTTAGGATCTTTAAGATGAGAGGCTTTTGTTCCAGTGTTTCCCAAACACTCCAGTACACTCTGAGCATTCACTGACTCCTTTGGTTTCTAGAAGGCTGGGGTACCCTATCCTGTACCCAAACTCCTTCTCTAAACACACCAGTGCTCTTCTTGACTTTTAATTGACTCTTAAGATCATGCAAGGCAGTCTCTGACCCGCCAGACCAGGGATCTCTCCATTCTTCAGAGCTATCACCCTGTTTTAACTGGGTAGTGAATTTTTCTTCTCTGTTTATCCCCTTTCCTGGCCTGAATGTGAGTCTTCTTCCAACTACCCACTTGTCCTTCCCAGCCTCCCCCAGTTCTCCATCTGTGTTAAATGGCACTCAGTCATGGCTGAATTCAGACTGAATCTCTCCTCAGCATTCAGCTCTCAAGTCTTTCTTCTGCTCAGCTGAAGCTAACCAAACAGATCCCTTGGAACAGCCTGTCACTCAAGGCTCCCTGGGTCTGTGAAGAATTAACCCTTCACAGTCCTTCACCTGTTTGTACAGCACTTCTAAGCTTTTAAAAGTGCAGTCCATTGCAGTAGCTTCTAACAATTTTTTTAAAATACAGTAAACCAAAACAGCACTTCTCCGGTAAAAAGACCAGCTGGTTGTGCTGAAGAAAAAGCTCCAATGTCTAAGTCAGCTCCTCAAAAACTGGAGGGGGGGGGCTTGTCCTGTGCCTCTTTACATTCACCCTTCTTACCCTGCTACCTCTGGTTCCTGTTGCTGTCTTTTCCATAACACTTTGTACTCCTTTCTGAGGTGCTGATAGTTCTGCAGGCTGAGTGGAGCATCTTAATGCCAGTGTCCCTTTGCAACAGCAGTTCTGTTTACTCCCCGGTTCGTTTTTTGTGGCCTCAGCCTTTCGGGGGTATATTCTGGCACGCGAGTCCAAGCCTCCAATTATCCCCACATTGCTAAACCAAGCCAGAAAGCAGCCTCATACCTACAATAAGCCCGTGCCTGCCCACGTGAATTAAGATGCAGCGTTGCATGCTGGGAATCTTGAGTTTTCCCTGATTTGTTTTGGGTAGTAACGAGGAGGGGGAGGGGGGATTGTGAAGTACAGCTCCTCCCTGTTTGTCCCATGGTTGTATTTCGTGTGGTAGGAGTCTTTGTCGAGCCGTTGTAGCAGAATCACATATTCTTTTCTCCTCCTGGTCCTTTCCCCCCTCTTCCCCCTCCCCTGCAATTATTTCTAGGGATGTTTAATAGCCCCGAGATGCAAGGGCTCCTGCAGCAGATCTCGGAGAACCCCCAGCTCATGCAGAACGTGACCTCCGCCCCTTATATGCGTTCCATGATGCAGACGCTTGCCCAGAACCCCGACCTTGCAGCACAAGTGAGTAGAGGATGTCCCACTGCCCAGTTCAGGGTGTGCAGTGAGAACTGAAGAGGCTTAAACTGGAAGTCTCCACTGGGCAGTGCCTTCCGACCAGGCGTGGGCAAAGCTATGGCCCGGTTCCTTTACCCTCCGTTTGTTCAGGGTTATCTTTTAAAGTGTTGCCGTGGTGGCAGCTTCCCTCAAAACTGATTGGAGTTTGAAAACATCCTTGCTGCTCAGCTGGGGAAGTGTTCAGACCCAGATCCCCATCATACCAGTTTGATTTCAACAGCATCAGAATGTCTGTTTAGTCTGATTTTTTTATCCTGCCCTTTATTCAGTGGAGCTCAGTGGCTTCCACGGTGCCTTCCCCCCGCCTTGTTTTATACTTGCAGCAGTCTTGTAAAGTAGATTAGGTTTACCTGACGGACTAGAAGAAGAAGAAGAGATTGGATTTATACCCCACGCTTCACTACTCAAAGGTGTCTCAGAGCGGTTTACAAACTCCTTTCCCTTCCCCTCCCCACAACAGACACCCTGTGAGGGAGGTGGGGCTGAGAGAGCTCTGATTTATACCCCGCCCTTCACTTGGAGTCTCAGAGTGGCTTACAAACTCCTTTCCCGTCCCCTCCCCACAACAGACACCCTGTGAGGTGGGTGGGGCTGAGAGAACTCTGACACAAATTGCTCTTTTTCAAGGACAGTTCTTATCAGAACTATGGCTTGCCCAAGGTCATCCAGCAGGTGCAAGAGGTGGAGTGGGGAATCAAACCCGGTTCTCCCAGATTAGAGCCCACGCACTTAACCACTACACCAAACTGGCTCTCCAAAGCAAGCCATAGGAATTTAAAAAACAGATTAAAATTCAATATAGATGTTCCTTGGAGAGGGAATTCTCAGCTATCTTTGCGTGGTGTAGTGGTTAGTATTTCAGCCTAGGATCTAGAAAAGAACGAGAGTCCAGTAGCACCTTAAAGACTAACAAAATTTGTGGCCTGGTATGAGCTTTGGTAAGTCACTGCTCCCTTCTTCAGATACAGCTAGATATGTTCCTTTCTACTGCTGCAGAGAGACTAACACGGCTACCCATCTTGATCTATGGTAGACTAGGGATTTGAATCCAGGTCTTCCCTAGTCTGACTCTCTAACTACTACGCCTCTGTAGAAAAGATTAAGAGTCCAGTAGCACCTTAAAGACTGGCAGGGTATGAGCGGTCGTGAGTCACTGCTTCTTCAGTGACATACGAAAGCTCATACCCTTGCCACAGATTTTGTTAGACTTACAGTGCTCCTGGACTCTTACTCTTTTTTACTGCTATGAGGAACCACAACATTCAAAACCTGTGAGGGAACATTTTAACCTTCCAGGGCATTCAGTTGCTGACCTAAGAGTAGCAGTTCTCTTAGAAAGGAATTTCAAAGGGAGATCAGCGCCTACTGAATTGCAACTGATAATGAAGCTCAAGGCCATTCATCCTCCTGAACCGAGACATAGGTTTCTTTTGTCATTACCCATGCCTGCTGTTGTCATTTGGTGTCTGAAATCCCTTCATTCCCCAAGACATAAGGACAGATGGACTCACATTCTAGCTGCATCTGGAGAAGTGAGCGCTGACTCACGAAAGGTCATACCCTTGCTACAAATTTTGTAAGTCTTAAGGTGCTACTGGACTCTTACTCTTTCTCTGCTGCTGCAGACAAACTAACATCTTGATCTACTACGCCTCGCTCAGTGCCTAGCTATGTAAAGGGCTCGCAAGAGCTTCCCCCTGCCTCTCCTGTTTTCTTGCAGATGATGGTGAATGTTCCCCTCTTTGCCGGCAACCCTCCGCTTCAGGAGCAGCTACGGCTCCAGCTCCCCGCCTTCCTGCAGCAGGTAAAGAGGAGCAGTGTGGCGCTCCCTGAATTGCAAGGGGGGGTGGGGGAAGACGGCTGACTGGGCCTGGGTGCTCTTGTCCAGCTTGGGTGTCGTTTTCCGTAGCCCCACCCCTGTGCATTGGGTGGAGCACCACCATTGTACACGGTGCTTTGTAGTGCACTTAACGTTTTCGTAGGAGGAGGTTTGGCATGGGTGAGGGGAGTGTTTTCAGTACAATTAAGCACCTTTTTATACCGAGTCAGACCCTTGGTCAGTCCTGTCTACTCAGCCTGGCAGCGGCTCTCCAGGGTCTCAGGCAGAGGTCTTCCACATCACCTACTGCAAGATCTTTTGACTGGAGATGCCAGGAATTGAACCTGGGACCTTCCGCGTGCCGAGGAGATGCTCTTGCCACTGAGCCAGAGCCCCTCCCAATTGTATTTTTTTGTGAGTTTTGGTAGAAGGTGGAGACCCCAAGGGCTTGTGCAAAAAATGGGCAGGAGAAGGGATTTGGAGGAGCAGTTCCAGGCAGCAGGGGGTGAAGGTGAAGTCCCTTAAGGAAGCGGAGAGCACTTTGGAGAGCAAACGTGGCAAAGTTGGAGGATCCGGGGGGAGAACCCAAAAGCGCAGTGGATGTGCAGGCCCTTTGCTCCAGTTAGAGATCCTTGTACATGCTTGGGTAAAGTGCGCCATCAAGGTGCAACTGGTTCACGGCGAGCTCGTGAAGTTACACTTTGTGGGGTTTTCCAGGCAGGAGATGAGCAGAGGTGGTCTGCTGTTGCCTTCCTCTGCACAGCAACTACACTCTTCCTAGGTGGGTCTCCCATCCAAGTACGGGCCTTGGTCAGCCCTGCATGGCTGTCGAGTTCCGACAAGATCAGGCTGGTCTAGGCTCCTAGGGCTGCTACCTTGTGGCTCCTAGAGAGCCAAAGTAGTGGGCACTGCTCCGTGAGCAATAGAGGAGCTGTCATTCATCTTGTAGTTGCAAACAGGTCCTGGAAACTGGTCAAGGACAGCGGTTTCGTGGCTAAGAACAAAAAGGCTCAGAGGGACATGTTAGGGCCTCTTAGCCGCACAAAATAAGTGGCTGTCTGAACATCCCAACCGCTAAACCGCTGTTGACCTTTGTCACCCCAGATGCAGAACCCCGATTCTCTCTCGGTCATGACCAACCCTCGCGCCATGCAGGCCCTGCTGCAGATCCAGCAAGGGCTCCAGACGCTGCAGACAGAGGCCCCGGGACTGGTGCCCAGGTAATGGGGAGCTCTCTCCGGTCTAGGGATGGCTCGTGTCAAGGCCCAGCATCCGCGGGGGAAACCACAGGCAGATACGGGATGGGGGCAGCCTGTGGACCAGAAACAAAAAGATGCTCGTTACAGGTAGGCTCTGCGGAAGGCCAATTTGGCTCTTGCTCTTTGACCGGTGCCCTCACAGGGGCATGCGACGCTGACAGAATGCAAAAGATGGCAGTTAGGAAAGGAAAGCAAACCCACCTTCCAGTGTTCGGCTTCATTTATAATCCGTCTTTCTTGCTGAGATTCAAGGCAGACAGCATGACTGAAAACAGCGTTAATAAAAACAAAAAAAGGCCATAAGAATAATATGAAGCGTACAACTGACAGTGGTTAGAACTGGGTTTCAGAATCGGAGACCGATGCAGTGCGCGGTATATAATACACACTGACAATGGAACGTGAATTGCAGAATTGGCAAGCAGTGTGACAAAAGTAAATACGATTTATACAAGGAACAAAGGAATGAGAACTGCCTCAATGGAAGATGTTTGTTTTAGTTATTTTCTTTATCTACACACCCCTGCCTTCCTCGCCAGTGGAGAGCCAAAATTGGCTTCACAGCCTTTTCTCCTCCCATGTGAGATAGTTTTGGGCTGCCCATTGAGCTTCCATGGCAGAACAGAGATTTGAACCTTGGGCTCCCAGATATACGAATCGGATACTCCGAACGCGACCCCACACTGGCTGCTCAACATCCTTATTCCCTTCCGAGCAGTGCTGGAGAGGAGGGTAAGAGCACGGGAGGTGTCTAACCCCCATCAGGCAGGCGGTTCCAGCCACAGCCAGAGAAGGCACAGCTGCGGACAGGCCGTCAAATAGACTTGTGATAGGAGATAACGGGGCGGAGGGAGAGCAGATTGGAAAACGGATTCTTAAAATCCTGAGCTTCCGAAGGAAGGGCTGCATTTAAAAAAAACACCTCGATAGAAAATCTAAACAAAGAACTGCCATTATTTGGAGAGCGCTTTATTTCCTCTGCCTGTGGGGCAAGGGGGAGTGTTACACAGGATGCTTGAGCTAAGCCAGGAACAGGCAGGGGCTGGTTGGCTTCACCTTCCTGCCTCCCTCTTCTGGCTGTCTTTGTTTTGTCTTAATAGCTGTTGGAGGAACCGGGGTGGGGGGCTGAGCCAGGAGGAAGAGATCCTCCTCCTTGTAGCCAGACCTCTCCCGGTGGTGGATTGAGGAGCTGTTGCAAGTTGCCGAAAGCCTGGATTTCTGCAGACCAGGCACTGGTGGTGGGTTTGCTCCCTTTTCTTTTTTACTCAGGAGTCAAATTCTGCCAAGCAGTCAGATGCAACCCACACTTCCCTTGCAGTTCTGTAAGCACAAAGGGTCACGAGGGTGTCCCTCTCCTGCTCAAAAGCTGCTGAGCGCTTCTGGCATTTGGAGCAACAGAACCCCGAGGAGCCCTTCTCCAGGTTCCTAAGTTTCCAGATCGTGCCCACCTCCCCGCAGGCGTGTGCCATCTCACCCTCGGACCTTCTCTCCCCTTCCACAGCCTTGGGACGTTCGGGCCGCCTCGAGCCCCCCCGCCTTCTGCCGGAGGAAGCACAATCCCCGAGACCCCCATGCCCTCTGCTTCGACGCCTGCCAGTGCCTCCCCAGCCGGAGACAGCAACCCACACCAGCAGCTCATGCAGCACATGATCCACCTCCTGGCCGGCGCAAACTCTCAAGTATGTTGTGCACACTCTTCCCTGGCTGGGGCGGGTTTTCTTCTGCTCGGCACAGTGCCCTCCCCTACCTGTCACAACCTCGACTGGACAAAGGCCGCCTTTCCCGGGCAGTTGTTCTCCAGGCTTCCAGGCATGTAGTGAGGTGGGGGGTGGGGGGTGGGCAAGAGGCGCTGTGGCACTTACAGTGATGGGAGGTGGTCCAGGAGATGCTGTGGCTGCGAAGAAGGTGCCCTTTGCCCGATCCAGAGCATCCTTTCCCGACTGAGAGCGATCACACGGGAGCCCTTTGACATGTGAACACCTCTTGATTGGAGGGTCCAGGTTCGGAGGGCTGGAGCCCCAAGTCTGGAGCACCCAGAGCGTATGTGGGGGTGGGGTCTGAAAAAGGGGAGCTGCTCTTTGTTTGGAGGATGTGCGTTTGAGAACTCTTTGGAGTGCATGTTTTACCGTGAAGGATGGCAGAAGAGAAGTGTCAGAACCCACAGCTCACAACGAAGTACACGCATTCAGGAATGGTTATACGTTTATTGCAAAGCTATAGATGCAGTAACACAGGCACTGTTGAGAATGGCGGCAACCCATTGTGCATAATAGGATATAGGGTGTTCTTATTCACCCCCGGCATGGGCCAATTAGGAGCCCTCCCGCACGCGGGACCAGCCAGAAAACCGTTAGGTGGCAAAACCTGGGAAGCAATAGTCTCTCACGGTGAATAGGAGACTTCCAGACAATACAACTTCCAACATAACAACCTCCTGCACATCTGTAGAGATAAGCATTGCAGCACAGGCAAAACAGCAGAGACAGGAATGCAATAGCAATTAGCAAGACACAGAATGAACTCCCCAACCCCCATAGCAGCATAGCTGACAAGAAGTGGTTTTTCTCCAGGCAAGTTTGGCTGGAGATCCCGAAGGGTTTTTTGTGTGGAACAGGGGTCACTGGAGGTGTTGAGAGGATATTTGTGATATATTTGTGAATTTCCTGCATTGTGCCAGGGGTTGCAGTAGATGACCTAAAAGGTCCCTTCCCACTCTACGATTCTATAGAGTTGCGGATGCACCAGGGACTGGTGATGCAGTGACAGTAAAGGGGAGTGAAAGAGAGACTGCTCCTGCTCCACCACGTGACTGAGACCATGAGAAGTCATCTGTTCCCCGGTCCCTGTTACCCACAGTGCTTTTTTCTCACCAAAGGTCCTGCAGTAGGGGGATTCAGCCTGAGGTCTTGGGGCATGCAAAGGGTCTGCTCTGCCACTGAGCCGTGGTTCATGCAAGACAGCTTTGTGGCAGCTCTCCAAGCAGTGGGTACCCTGGACAGGTGATGTCCTTCAGGGTGACCCTGGGGGCAGTTCGTTTCACCAGCCTTCCGCCAGCAAGGCTTTGGCCCGTTGACACCGGTGGTCCGTTCCTCTCTCAGCAGGCGCAGAGCCCGGAAGTGAGGTTCCAGCAGCAGCTCGAGCAGCTCAACGCCATGGGCTTCATCAACCGGGAGGCCAACCTGCAGGCGCTCATCGCCACGGGCGGGGACATCAACGCTGCCATTGAGAGACTGCTGGGCTCGCAGCCTTCCTAACGCCGTGGGGCCCCTCCCAGTCTGCCCGATCTCATCTCCCGCACGGGGGCCTGTCCAGGAGACCACCATGGCGGTGCCCCAAGTCCCGCGATAGCTGTCCGCCGTGCGATAAAAAAACGGAGGCCAAGCTTCGGCCCGGCGCGGCTGAGAGATCCCTTTCCGAACTGCGTTGCACATGGATTCTGATTCCCATCGAGTGGCCATTTTCACTTCTCTCCCCGCCCCCCCTTCTGTCTCCCCGGCAATTAGGCTGTTTAGTTAGTAGAAGTGTTCACTTCTAGTTGACCCAAATGATTGTGTTGGATTAGCTTGCTTTTAAAATAAAAGCTGTCTTTCTCCTCCTGCCCCTCCTCCTCCTCCTCCTCCTCCTCACTGGAGACCAAGGCGATACCAATCCGATTTCACTGACCCAAAGGCTATCTTTTCTCACACAGAACAATAATTCAGGGGCAAGACTCTTAAACACTACTTGCGGAAACGGAGCCCGTTTTGCGAGACCCTCGGACACTCCCTTTCGGACCTCGGTTGCGTACCCCAACATCGCGTTGGCGCTCGTGGGGTTTGAGCCTGGGGGATTATGGAGGGAGGGTTTGAGGATGGAGGTTTGAGGTGTGTGTGGGGGTCTTCGAAGGCAGAGGGGAAGATTTCCTGAATTGAGGGTGTGGCGCTTGAAATTAGACTGGGATTGTGTTTTATTGTCTACCTTAAAAGCCTCATGAATGTCGTTTACTTCTTGATGCATCTAGGAAGGAAAATCAGCCTGTAACTTTAAACAAAGTTCCAGTTGTTCGTTGCTGGCTTGGAGCCTGCTTATCACTTCCCTGTGTGCTCGGAAGCCTTCCTCCAGTGATGCTAGAAGGCAGAAGGGGGGAAAAAAAATTTGGCCTACTTTCTTTCCACTGCCTGTTGTGTGCGGCTTTTTATCCAGGCGTGGTCTTGCGCCCCCCCCCCAGTCTACTTTTTGGGCACTCCTGCCCTATAGAAGGCTGGGAGATAAGGAAACCATGGCCTCTGCCATCACTTGCCACAGATGCTGCAGGGTCCAACCTTATCGCTTCTTCCGGCCAGAGGGTTTGATGCTATAGAACCTGCAGGGAGCGGGAGTTTTAAAGCGTATGGACAAAGCATGGGAGTGGGGAAACTCCACTGCTGTGGGAAGCTATCGATAGGTCTCCCGCCCCCTTTCATTAACCTTTCCTCTTTTTTAGTTCAGAATGTTAAAAGGATCCTGCCTGCCCGCAACTGACTTAAGAATCCCCTACGGCAGTGTAATTCTCATCTGAAATTTACGTACTGTTTTTACCCAGGAATAAAATGCAGCCATCTGTCTCCCATTTCTGGTTGTTGTTTTTTCTGTGTAACCTTGCAGGGAATCGTAGGTCTGCTCCCCTTGAGGCTTGTATGGTGGAATTCCTTGTATTGGGGACATGGGGAATTCTTTTTTGGGAAAAACCTGCTTTTATGTACTGCCTCAGACCATTGGTTAATCGAGGACTCAGTGTGCTGATTGGCAACTGTTCTTCAGGGTCGCAGGTTGAGGTCTTTGATACCAGCTACCACTTGATCGTTAGAAAAGAGCAAGAGTCCAGTAGCATCTTAAAAGACTAACAACATTTGTGGCAGGGGATGAGCTGCCGTGAGTCACTGCACACTTCTTCGGATAAGAAGGCTCACACCCTGCCACAAATTTTGTTAATAGTCTTTAAGGTGCTACTGGACTCTCTTCTACTGCTACAGACAGATCAAGATGGGTAGCTGTGTTTCTCTATCTCCACTTGATCATTTTAACTGGAGAGGCCGGGGACTGAACCTGGGACCAGATGCTCTACCCACCGAGGCACAGCCCCATCCTGTTTCTCTTCCATGGAAGGATCAATCATTTTTACCTTGCCCTTTCTGTCTTCAAGGGCCGACAGAAGGTCCCACCCTCCAGATGGGTAGGATCAGTGGCTGCCCATACCAGAGCCTCCTTTGTGGGGGCCCCGCCTGTTGGAATAGCCTGTTCTGACAAAGGGCAGGGAAAGGATCCCACCCGTTGGGCCTTTCACACACTGAGAAGGGCCAAGCTAGACTTGGCGTTTTTTTACCTCAGAGCTGTACCGATGTACCAAAACCCCCAAATTTAAACAAAAGTGGTAGCGGAAATTTCGAGGCAGTAATATTGTACCTACAAGTGGAATCACAAGGGCACTCCTGGAGCATAGCAGGACCACTACCACTCATGAGATCCTTTACTCCGAAGCAATGTTCCCTCTAAGCTGTGGAGTCTTGTGAGCAAAAATTCTACTTTGTGAGCTACCGGCATTAAAGTTGTGAGCAAGTGACTTGGCTACTGCATGAATCAGTTTGCTCTGGAGCCCTCCTTCCTGGGCTAAGACCAAAATGTGTGAGCCAGAGGCTAAAAAACTGTGAGCTAGCTCACACCAACTCAGCTTAGAGGGAACACTGCTCCAAAGATGCTTCAGCCATTCCACAGTTTCTTTGTCTCCTTCAGAAATCTATAAATGCTCTTCTCCAGACTCAAATAGAATTCTGTCAGCTCTAAGCGGGGGAGCCGGGGGTCTGCCTCCTCCCAGCCCTGGTTGGGACGATGTCAAGATGATAAAATGTTTGCGTTATTTCGTCAGAGGTTCTAGCGCCCCCTTATGCCACCGTACTTTAAACCAAGCCCAGGCTAGCCCGATCTCAGAAGCTAAACAGTGATCAGCCTTGGTATTTGGATGGGAGACCACCAAGGAAGTCCAGGGTTGCTACGCAGAGGCAGGCCATGGCAAACCACTATGGGGGCTCCATAAGTCAGCTGCGACTTGCCAGCACTTTCTAGCACCAAAGAATACATCCATTCATAGTAACCAGACTGCAAACTAACAGCAGTGCGTTCCTTTCTGTCTGGTTTGGTTTGGAGGGCAAAATTAGGCATGCATTTCCCTGCTCCCATCATTGTTGGGACAATAGCTCATGAGATGGATTGTTGTGATGTGATAGTCAAACAGCTGAGTGGGCTAATGCTTGGAAGACGGGGGTTCGGGAACAAGGAAAACCGCCCCAGAATGTGCTGCCCCTACAACTAACTGGTGATGCCCATGGTTGAATTTGGGTCTGGGTTTACATTAGATGCCCCGACCTGGATGCCCTTGGCAAGCCCCATATCGTCAAATCTTGAAATCTAAAGCAGGATCGGCCCTGGTTAATAGTTGTTTTTGGGTGGGTGGGTGTGCCTGCCAGCCTGGAAGTCATGGTGACTGCTGGCGACCCCTAGTGGAGCTAGGACCTTTCAGAGGTGGCGAGGTATTCCCCGCCTCTGCATCCCAGCCCTGGTATTTGGAGGTCGCCCTTCCAAGTACTTGCCAGGGTTGGCCCTGCTTAGCTTCTGAGATCTGACAAGATCAGACTTGCCCTGGGCTAGCCAGGTCAGGGCGGGCCTTGTTCATATTTGGAGGGGCAACCACCAAGGAGTCCCAAGGGTTCCTACGTAGAGGCAGGCAGTGGCAAGCCACCACTGTTCATCTCTTGGCTTGAAAGCCCCATGAGGGGGTCACCATAAGCCTGATGTGATTTGATGGCACTTTGCACACAGACTATATGACAGTGATGGCGAACCTTTTAGAGACCGAGTGCCCAAACTGACCCAAACCCCACTTATTTATTGCAAAGTGCCAACACGCCCATTTAACCTGAATACTAGGTTTTACTTTAGAAAAAACAACTCATACATTGACTTAAGATGACCCAAACAAAGTAAGCAAAGCAATCCCAAATGCTTTCATTTACTTAAAATTATTTGGCAGAGAATTTGACACTTTAATGATGGTCTGGGCCTGGCTGGGGCAATGGCACGCGTGCCCACAGAGAGGGCTCTGAGTGCCACCTGCGGCACCCGTGCCATAGGTTTGCCACCACTGCTATATGAGATGTGGAGCTTGAGTCACTGACTTGCACTTGTTTCTAAAATGGCAAAGGGTCGTGGAATCTGATTGACCAGGGCTTTGAACTCAAGTCTCCTAAGCCTAAATCTATTATGCCACAAAGGCTGTTATGCTATACTATATACTTAAATAAGGGTTGGGAAATACATGGAATTTGGGGGGGGTGGAGCCTGAGGAAAAGTGGGGTTTGGGGAGGGGAGGGACTTCAGTGGGGTTATGCCAATAAAGGTCTATGCTATGCCATAGCATGACCTACCTACCAGTGGGGTATAATGTCTTAAAGTCCGCCTTCCAAAGCAGCCGTTTCCTTCAGGTGAACTAATCTGTTGCCTGGAGATCAGTTGCAATAGCGGGAGAGCTCCAGCCACCACCTGGAGGTTGGGAACCTGAACCCAAGTAAATTTGGCAGCAAGTCAGTCCATGCTGGGAATTGTTGTGTGAACAAATGCTAGCACTTCGAGGCGAAGCAGCAAAGTATGGAAACAACCACAGAAGTAGAAGACAGATTCCTAGAAAGGCCACAATATGAGCAAGCCCCTTGCCTGAAAACGGCCTCTTATTTTCTTGGGGTGGGGACTGGGGAGGAAAAAGCATTTATGGTGAGCAAAAGGCAGATTTTGTATCTCTGGAGAAAAAACAAATTCTTGTTGGGAGAGAAGGAAATTTGGCTAGCAGGAATGGCTTGCCACAGACACCTATTTAAATCAAACCAGGTGGGGAGGGAAGTGAAAGAGGCATAAACAAAGCTAGGAATTAATTACTTAATTATCATATGGCAGTGTGTTATAGCCAGGAGATCCTAGGATTGTCTGGCAGCCAGAAGCTCTAGCTCTTTTGTGATGAGCTAGGCTTATGGTGGGCTGAGAGACGTGTGACTGGCCCAAGGTCACCCAGCTAAAGTCCGTGGCTCTTAACCACTACGCCAAGCTGGTTATCAACAAAGCTTGTATGTCAAAAGCACTCTGCCTGTGATCCAGAACAAAGTTTGAGTCCAGTGAAACCTTTAGGACCAACAAAGTTTTATTCATTCATTTTTTATGCTTCTGATCCACTGATTTCAGTGATGGAATTAATCACATGCTTAAGTCTCTCCATGGTACCCTAATGATGGTTGTGGTGTTTTCTCTCTTCGCAGACATAAAAACTGTGTTTCCTCATCTGTTCTGTAATTTGCATTTAAAAAACAACAACAAAACTAAGTGCACCGTTGGTCTGCATTTTGTCCTCTGTTTGCTAAAGATTGGGGGTGGGGGGAGACTTTCTACTGTAAATGCGCTTTTGTTCCTCAAACAGAAACAAAACAAAAACCCATTGAGCTTGACACCTACTGAAGTCCTAAAGTTCAGGAGTGCAGTTTTGAACTTTGATATAAAATGTTTTTTTAAAAAAACGGGGAGAAAAAAACCTTTTCTGTTCAGCAGTTCTACAGCCCAGTCTAGAAAACTTTATTTGGAAGCAAGTCCCACTGTCTTCAATAGGATTTACCCCCAAGTAAGCATGCAGACAAATGCAACTCTTTAAGAATCTGCAATCGTGCAACTCGGAAACCTGCTCCTTTTAAAGATAGCTTCCGGACGACACCCCTCCGCCGAACGCTGACGCACAATCCTTTGCAGCCCGGCAAAAGGTGAAAGGTTTTCCTTCCTGTTAAGATGGTGGCCCCCATCGTCTTCATGTGGTTTTGAGAAGAGCGAGCCTCTCTAGGATCCAAACTGGGTGCTTTTTAAAGGCATGGTAAGTTAAATGCTTTGCTAGGATGAGGAAGGAAGAGGAAACAATTGATAGCTGCCTGCGCTGTGTGAGTTTCTGAGTTACAGGAGTTGTTGTTCAAACCATTCTGCAGGAGTTGTTGTTCAAAGATTTGTAAATTTTTGCTGGCGGATGTTAATGTAGTAGCGTATTTATTTACGCAAATTTTTAAGTTTAAAGGGGGAGGGTGTGTTGGGTTATAGTACTCATTTTTCTGCGTACTCCGAAACAAGGTAGTGAACAATTTCTGAAGGCCAAAGGGAAAGGGGGAAAGATTATTCCAAAAGAAATAATCTAGGGTGATTGTGCTGGGAAGGAATCTGGTTTGGCCAAACGTATTTGAGGACTGTTGTTTTCCGTCAGGGTGTACCTTTGTCTATGCTCTGAGAACATTAACTTAAAGTCGATCCTATTCCCTGTGGGTCGTCATGAGTGAAGGTTGGATAAACTTTCAACCTTATCTTTCATCTATTAAAAAAAGAAAAGAAACCACTTTCCAGTCAAAATTGGCTCTCAATTTAAAGATCAGAGCAGATGACATTAAATTTTAGTACAGATGGTTTCTTGGCAAGGGAATTCTTAGCTGTAGCTGGATCTAAGCGTGGCGAAGGCTTCCATAGGGGTAGCCGTGTTAGTCTGTTTACCAAAACAAAACAGAAGTCCGGTGGCACTTTAAAGGCCAACATCATTTTTCCCAGGGAGTTTTGACTCTTGAAAACTCATACCCTGAAAATCTTGTTGGTCTCTAAGATGTTAACTGGATTTAAATATAGCATTTCTACTGCAAACCAATGCAGCAACTCTCTGAAACCATTTATTCCAGCATTTGTGTACTTGCCTGCTCCCTCCTGGCCTTCTGGTAGTACCCCTAATAGCAGCAGAAAGCAGGAAGAAAGACTCCCTTTTTTAAAAAGGAAAGTGGAGATTCTTGAGAGGCTGTACTTTGCAACCACTGTACTCTGTTTTCTCTATGTGTGATTTATACCATACAACTCTGCCCTGATTGTGGATAGGTGCCTTCTGTAACTATTGAATATAATTTATAAACCCTTCTGGATTGGTTACCCCATTTAGAAAGACAATGGGAATGTACTGGAGATAGCTTGGAAGGGCAAAGTACACCATCTGGTTTAATTAGCATGAAATTGCTCCTGTTTGACTATATATTGAGGTGTGCATGTTAAAGCCACAATTGAACGAATGCATCTATGTAATGATCTTTTCACCTGAGCCTTTAAAATTAAAGGTTTTCACTTTCTTGTATACACAGATTCCATCATGAGCAACTTTTCTCAGCTACAGAAGAACAAAGGCTTAACATTTGCAGAGAAACAGTTGAAGAAGCATGGCTGGGAAAAAGGTTGGGGAGGCATTGCATATGCTTTGCTAGTCTCTATTTAACGTACTTCCTGGTCCCTGGTAAATCCCTGTTCCTATTTGCTTCGTTTTTGGCTTCTTCTAGGGATGTCTTTTAAAATTTGACTGGTGTGATTGGCTAGTATTGTTGTTCCTCAGGCTTTGGCTCCTTCCCAGAGCTTTCTAGAGATTAAATCTCTGTGTGGGGAATGGATGCATCTTGTGCATAATAGCACACATCTGTGTCAGTGCATGCTCATAATGAACTCTAAGCTGCCATGCATTGCACAATCTTCTGTTCTGCATGCTGGACTAGAAGCCCCGAAATCCACAGCAGAAACATAATGCTGGTTGTCTCGTTTCCACATTTCTTCAACAAATGCTTCCCACATCTGGGGCAGATACCCTCCATACGTCCGGGTCATGTGTTAACGGAATCCAGTGCCTGCTTCCCCTCCATCTGAAGTCTGTGTTGTATATATATCAATCATGCATATGAACTAAGTCTGCATGTTTTCTCATCTCCGTAGTTGTGCATTTTCTACCATGTTGCTTAATTCTGCGTTTGCCAGCCATGGAGGAGGAGCCTACAGAACCCTCACACAGTTGCTGGAAATCTTTTCCAGCCACTGTTACAGCTTCTGAAATGTAACTGGGCATTGGACTGCACATGTTCAAGCATATTTTGGCAACCAGAAGAGCTAGAAACTTGCTGTGTGTGTGTTACGTGTATTTAAAATTAAAGTGGAGACATCTGGAAGTCTCCCCCCCCCCCCAATCCCTGTGGCTTCTGAAATGTCACCTTTGGCCACACTATTTAAATACATCTTTGAAACCAGAAGGATTAGAACCTTTTCAGAGTTTGATTGCTTTGGAATGAAAAGTTGTTATATCTGAATCTCATGCTGAATGCCATGTTCCAAGGGGTATTCCCCCCCCCCCAATACTTGTTGGTATTGTATCTTACGCTTTGTTGTGCTTCTGAGCAGATCTCTACCACTAGTAGTAGACTTTTTGGCTACTCATTTTGGTCTGATATGGAACCATATTTGAAACAGAATTGATCCCAGGAGCAAAGTCCCTTCCCCATGTGCATTTTAAATATTGAGTTAATATAACACAGCTGTATAAATTGGCGGAAGGAAAATGCATGAGCATTTAGTTACCCTGGATCTTGTGAAATGTGTCTGTGGTAGATGATGTCTTACTCTTCCAATAATTAATGCCGACCGTATTTCTAGGAATCAGTTTGCTTTCTGGACGCCAGGGCAAAGTTAAGTGGCCATCTGTCTCTTGTTGGTTTCTGTGTTCCCCCTTCAGCCCCTCATTCTTTTTGAAAAAAATGTTTTGTAGGTAAAGGACTGGGCAAACAAGAGAATGGGATCTCTGAGGCCATCAAAGTCAAAGTGAAGTGTGACAGTGCTGGGGTAAGCAAAGGGACAGGCTTGGGGGGGGGGGGGGGGGGGGGGGGGGTTAAAGAGGCTCAAAGGAGGCTGAGCACAAACAAACTTATTGCTAACTAAATCCATGTATAATCGGTAGTCCCCAAAACAGACCCACGTGCTCAGTTTAAAGAGTTGAGAGGCAGCTAAAAAATTCATGGCGGAATAATAAAGGTCAACAAATCAAAACCAGTAAGTGTTCCCCGTGCTGCTTGCACATGTTCCTTAAGGACTAGAAACTTTATTTAAAAAACAAACAAACCCCAAAACAATAAATCAAGGATTAGGACCTTGAATGTTATCAGTAAGATACCGGGAAAGAAATAGGACAAAATGAATGTAGGGATGGATTGAAATGTAGTTGAGAAGTTGTCTTTACCAGATATAGTAAAAGCTTGTGAAAGGCAGTGTGGCGTAGAGGTTGGAGGGGGAGAGACTAGGATCTGGGAAACTGAGCTCTGAATCCCCCACTGTACCGTGAAGGTTTATAAGTGATGCTGGGCCAGTTGCACTCTCTTGCAGCTTAACCTACCTCGCAGGATTGTTGTGAAAATAACGTGGAAGAGGGGGAAATGGAGTACGCTGCCCTGAGCTCCTTGAAGGAAGGGCAGGATATTAATATACTATAAAAAATGCAGGGCTTTTAACGTTTTTGTGCTGCACTTTATCCTTTTGTAAATAACCTTAATTAAGAAGATTGTCTGGTTGCAGAATTCTGGTGCAACCATGGCAAAGATTTCGATCTCCCCAGTGTCTACAGGGGATTTTTGAAAGCTGGTGTGGGATTCCTGGCTGACCAAAAATACAGATTACTGCAGAATTTGAAAGTGAACAGGGGGGAGGGCAGGAAGCTCCTGTGTGGCTATTCCATCATTTTTTATGTTGAGGCTTTATTTTTGAGTAGGGTGGGTCACTGAGGACTCCTTGGCAGCCACTGAGCCAGTGTGATATAATAGAGACCTGGGTTTGAATCCCTGCTTTGCCACTGTAACCAGCATGTGTGCTGGAATAGAAGCCCCCCCCCCCCCCCAGCATGAAGCTGATGGGCTGGATGAGGGTCAGCCACTCTTGGGTCCTAACTTAACGGAAGAACCCTGCTGGATCAGACCAGTGGTCCCTCTAGTCCAGCATCCTGTCTCACACAGGGGCCAACCAGTTCCTCTGGAGGGACAGCAACAGGGCACAGAGGCCTCCCTCTTGTGTCTTGCCTCTGGGATTCAGAGGCTGCCTGCCTACCAACATACAGGTCCCCCTAAGTCCCCATGGCTGCCAGCCACTGATAAGACTTATGCTCCATAAATCTATCCAATCTCCTTTTAAAGCTGTCTATTCCTGTGGCCATCACTACGTCCTCTGGCAGCGAATTCCACATTTTAATCACTCCCTGTGTAAAGTAGTACTTCCTTTTGCCTGTCCTGAACCTACTGCCCATCAGCTTCATTGGAAGCCCTCAAGTTCTAGTTTGGGAAGAGTCACTTACTGTGAACTTACTTCACAGGGTTGTGAAGGGAGGGAGGGAAGGGAGACTTGAAAGTTGGATAAACATGTGGTGAGCAGAGGTCCATCAGTGGCTGTAGCCACAAGGTATAGATAGGAACTCTCAGTCTGGGGCAGGTGATGCTCTGTATTCTTGGTGCTGGGGGGGGGCAACAGTGGGAGGGCTTCTAGTGTCCTGGCCCCACTGGTGGACCTCCTGATGGATAGGCCATTGGCCTGATCCAACATTGGCTTCTCTTATGTTCTTGAACATACCACTGTGGAGGAAAGGTAGGGTAAAATGGGGGTAGATAAAGGAGTTGGGCCTTATCGGGAGGCTTGGGTGCTTGTGCTAGCTGCAACGGCTGCTTCTTCCTCCACACAGGTGGGTCACAATTCAGCTGAGCAGTTCACCTTCCACTGGTGGGATCACCTCTTCAATTCGTCTGCTGCTAATATCGCTGTGGAGACTGGACAGGTAGGAGGCCTCTGACTGGTCCTGGCCCCTTCCCCTGACGCAAGAGGCTCAAATGGGAGGGCTCCACCAGACCCAACCCACCATATGTGAAGCTGTTGTCCTAAAGATGATATTAGTACGATACAGTCACGACGGTGTGCACAAAACCCGAAGGGACAAGCGCATGTCATGTGAGTTATGGTGGCTATTGAGGGGCATAACCACCTCCCTCTTCCACGCATAGAGCTGTGGGGGGGGGGGGATTTCACTCCATTCCTCCTCCTCGCTTTTTCAAAGTGTGCCTGTACACAAAAGCCTCTAGCTGGAATAAGAATTTGTTGGTCCTAAAAGTGCCACTGGACTCAAACGTTGCTTTGCTGCTTCAGACCAACATGGCTACCCACCTGAATCCGGGGCCAGCCCTGCTTAGCTTCCAAGATCTGATGAGAGCCGGCTAGCCTGGGCCATCCAAGTCAGGTTCTCCAAATCTATCTACATTTTTAAACTCTTAACGATCAGTCTTGGAAACCAGTTTCTAACTTCGTGATAAAAGAGGACCCAAATTAAAATTACTAGATTTTTAAATTCAGGGAGATAAAACATCCGCTTATACCAGTTTACTGTCTGATGTCATCTATCTAATCCTGTCTTATCTAACAGAAACGATATCATTAACTCGCCTATCCAAGACACACCGTTAACATCTCCCATTTCACACTGGAGGCAGGATAATTGTCAGCTATGGCGGGGTGGGGTGGGGGGACTGAGACTCTTCTTCATGCCTCTGGTATTTTGTCTTTCGATTCCCACTCACCGTCTTATCTTGTACCTCAGACAAATGACCTTGGTGCTCCTCTGTCCAAGCTTTGCTGGAAACCTAGGCTCGTTAGTTTTAGGCACAATGTCTTGCTCTGTTTATTGGTTTACCTGCATCAGGGGTTGAATTCGAATCGTGTATAACTGTGCCTTTCCTGCCTGGGATCCCAGTTCTACTATCCATATAAACCAGACAGGCTTGCTTCTACTGCTCAATAAACTTGATCCTAGTTAAGGAACATTGTTGGGACTGTTTTTGCAAGACTCTGACAATGATGACAATTTCAGTATTTAATAAAAGGCAACCAGACCTCTGCACATCTTTTGACTTAACCAAGATTTATAAGATCATGTATACTTCAATGTTGGCATCATCTGTCTTGGAGTCAAAAGAAACTGCTGGGGGAAAGACAGCTTGAAGGAACATCCATGTTTGCCAGCACCTTCCGTGGCTGGATACCCCGAATATAGCTGTCAGCTGCTAATCAAACATGGACTTGGAAACCTTGCCGGAAGCAAACCCCCATAAACGTTCCCCTTTTCTCTCCTTTCCCCTGTCTTAGGATGGTGTCAAAGTGAAACGGGTTTCCGAGCAGGATGGAGTGGTCACAAATAAAAAGCCCCGTAAAGCAACAGGGTCCAAGGACATGCTGTATGGCCGGTTTGTGAAGGTAATGGGGACAGGACAGTATTTATGTCTTATTCACACGACTAATAGTCCACCTTTCTCCCTGAGACTCAAGGTGGATTACACGGTGTAAGACAAGGGGATGGAGAAAATGACAGGGCCGCAGCGGTCACTAGGAGAGAAAAAATAAGGCCAAGGCCAATGGTGGAAAATAAGGTAAAAACATACAAGACGAGTAGCCGCTGCTTTTGAAGAATTACTGCAAGACTAACAGATTCCCCTGACAAAGCCTGTTGACAAAACATGTAGGGAATTTTAACTGAGTAATAAAATACAGTTTTACCTTACTCAACAGGATGGGACATCCAATAAATAGTGCAATAGGGTTTGAGTTGCAGAAATCTGAGAATGGAGCTTAAACGAAGTATAAGCATTAATGTGACACATTAAGGGATGCAGGAATTACACAGGAGGATCATAGATACAGCAGTGGCCCTTTCACGAGGCATGCCTGTAATGCCGCATATTTCTGGGGTGTTCAGGAACATATGGGGAAAGAAACCGTCACAGGAATGCACAGCAAAACTACCTTACAGGGAGGCAGACCATTGGTCTATCACGTGCAGCCCTATCTGCTTTGTCAAGCAGTGACTCTCCAAGGCTTTAGGCAGTAAAAGTTCCACATCATCTTTTAAAATGAACTAATCCTTTTTTTAATTGGGGATGCCAGGGATTGAACTCTGGACCTACTGCCTGCAAAGCCGATGCTCTGCCCCTGAGCCACGCCCACTCCTGCTGCTTGGGAAGAGAGGATGCGAAGCTTGGGTCAAAAAGTCTCCTGCTGTTTGTGTTTTGTTCTGCCGGGCTTAACCATACAGCCTTAGATTTTACTATTTTATATGTATTGTGGAAATTCTGGTTTCTTCCACCTCTCTTTGCCTGTTCTTCCTTATCACTACTTGGTAACTGGGTACAAGCTTTCCTGTGCTTTATGTAAAGTTTGGGGTCCCCAATCAGGGATAAAAGTGGAATATAAATTTTAAAAATACATTCTGTTAGGCCTTGCCCCCTTATTTCCTCCCTTGGCCTTGGTGTAGTGGTTAAGAGCAGCAGACTCCAGTCTGGAGAACTGGGTTTGATTCCCCACTCCTCCTCCACATGAAGCCAGCTGGGGGACCTTGGGTCAGTCACTGTCCTCTCAGAGCTCTCTCAGCCCCACCTGCCTCACAAATGTTTGTTGTGGGGAGAGAAAGGGAGGAGATTGTAAGTCACTCTGAGAGAAAGTAGAGGTTTCCCTTGCTCAAAAGCCAGTCGAAGCTGACACTAGGGCACAGTGCTCACCTCCATTTCCAAGCCAAAGAGCCAGCGCTGTCCGAGGACATTTCCGTGGTCATGTGGCCGGCATGACTAGACTCTGAGGCGCACGGAACGCTGTTACCTTCCCACCAAAGTGGTACCTATTTATCTACTTGCAATTTCTTGCTTTCGACCTGCTAGGTTGGCAGGAGCTGGGGCCAGAGACGGGAGCTCACTCTGTTGTGCGGCACTCAGGTCTTGAACTGCCGAACTACCAACCTTCCAGTCTGCCGTTCAGCATCCAACTCTTTTTCTCCTGTAGACCCCTTTCCTTCTGCCTTTTCTGCCCAGCTGACTTCCTTCTTGAACCCAACCCCTCACCTTCCTCCTCCTCCTCCTCTCTCTGGCTATCTCTATGTGCTCCAACTGTGAAGTCACACTCCTCAATGCAGGCTTAGGAAAGGGGTCCTGGAATCCTACCTTGCAGGCTGCCACTCGGTGTTGCCTGCCAAAAGGCACTGGCACGGCTAGATCCGATTTGGGCTTCCTTTTCGCTTTGTTCCAGGCAGCCACGTTGACGTCCGGTGGAGAGGAGCCCCTGAAGCCGCTTTCCTCTTCCGACAGCAGCGAAGAGGACCAGGAGGAGAAACTGGACTTGTCCACAGCCAGGAGGTAAAAACCAAGGCAAGGGGAAAAAGAGTCGCTCAAGCCTCTTGTCTGTCTGTTTGGCTGGGAACACAGGTTTGGTTGGGTCCGACTGGAATCGAACACCCCGTTATTCTTATAGTGTATCCAAAGCCTGGAGAGACTGAATGTGTTATTGTGTGTGTGGCCCCTTCCCTGGGCAGAGGATCCTTCCTTAACCCAGTTCTACTCTTCTTCCACAGGCTCACGGATGAAGAGCTGGTTGAAGCTTGCGGGGGACGTACGGCGCACAAGTGAGTGTGGAGTTCCGGGTCAGCTGGAGCATCCCTAAGTTAGGGAATTTCCCAACTTACTGGTCCAGCCAGAAATACATGGATAGTCACAGCTGGATTTGTTAGCAGGGGGAGTTGGGTAAGGAGGCCAGGTTCCCTCCCTGTACTTTCAGGTAGCCACTAGTTCAGCATCCATATTTACTGCTGTTTTCCTTTACCCGTCTCTGTGAAATCTCTGGTTCTTGTAAGGATAAGGGGGGAGCCTGCAAGCTAGCTAATTGCTGGTCAGCGGGCCGGGTCTGGTTGCTGACCACTGGCAGGGGGGAGGCAGGATTTTGCCGTCCTTCAGAATTCCTTGAAACATCTGTCTCAGATCTGTTATCAGCAAGTGCCTTGCCAGTGCCTTAGTTTTTCATATAGTTATCCTAACAACTACCCTGGAAGGCGGGCCTGGTATTATTCTCAAATTGCAGGTGAAAGGTGCCAGGAAGGGATTCCTTAGTTTGCGCCAGACTTGACCTGGGGATACTCCAACCTCCACATGAGCTCTCACTTGAGTATATATCAACTTTTGCACGTTTCCCCGTTCTCTTTCCAGAGGGGCTCGCCATGGCTTGACCATGAGTGCGAAGTTAGCTCGCCTGGAGGAGCAGGAGGCGGCTTTCTTGGCCAGCTACAAGAGGCAGGATGGAGCGGCCCAGGTTGCCTTGAGCAGCAGCAGCAGCCAGAATCCGACCAAGAGGAAGAAGCGGAAGCAAGCCAGAGAGAGAGACTTGGAGGAGGTGGTTTGTGAGAATGAGAGAGGGCGGGTTGCGGGAGAAGAGGAGCCTTTGGTAGATCACGAGGCGGAGAAGAAAGCCAAGAGGAGGAGGAAGAAAGAGAAAAGGAGGCGGCGGCGGCGGCAGGGGGGCGAAGGGGATGGAGAGTGACCCGACTTAAGAAACTTCCAGGCCCAAAAGACAGTGGGACTGAAACTGCCGCTAGGGAAGCAGAAGTCTCACAACGCAAAAGGAGTGGGTATTTGTGGTGGGAACGAAGCAGTACTGTGTTTTGTCATGATTCCTGGTGGATCTCATGTTCTGTTGCACAAACTCTGTGCAAAAAATGTGAGTAGATGTGCTCCATTGTGGGGAGAAGGTTCCCCCCCACCACCACCACGCCAATTAAAAAAATTATTTTAAACTTGGAAGGTGGAAGGAAGATCATCAAGAGGTTTCTGCAAGAGCAGGAAAAATTAAGATGGATAACTGATTGCAGAATAAATGGATACGAGAGAGGGGATGAGCTGTGGGAGTCTCACTGTTTGCTTGAAGGGCGCTTGTTTATTAGCCCCTCCCCTTCATTCGTGTACAGAAATCCACGGCTTGGACCCACTAGAGGATTTCCACCAGCCAAGCATTACCAAGCCAGTTTGGTGTAGTGGTTAAGTGCACGGACTCTAATCTGGGAGAACCGGGTTTGACTCCCAACCCCTCCACTTACACCTGCTGGATGACCTTGGGCAAGCCGTAGCTCTGATAAGAGCTGTCCTTGAAAAAACAGCAGAGCTCTCTCAGCCCCACCTACCTCACAGGGTGTCTATTGTGGGGAGGGGGAGGGAAAAGGAGTTTGTAAACTGCTCTGGAACTCCCTTGGGTAGGGAAGGGTGGGGTATAAATCCAATCTCTTCTTCTTTCTCCCCACTTGTTGCAGCCCAGAATCTTCCTGAAAGGAAGCTCTTGGGGGACAGGGGACCAGAGACACACCCCCCCCCATAGTATAGTATATAGTGGCTTTTCTGAAAAACCCCCCCCCCCCCATGGTGGATCCAGGCCCAAGGCTTCATACTCAAATTCCGTTATTTGCCACAGAGCCAATTGCACAAGGGCCAGTTTCAGTCCAAAGCATCCCTGACCACTTTATTCTATGAGATAGTGCCACAGGTCAGGTCCACAATGATAACTATGTGCCATTAAGTTGCAACCAGTTCATGGCTACCCCAGCACCACAGGGTTTTAAAGGCAAGAGATGAAGCAGAGGAGGTTCGCCACTGTCTGCCTCTGCATAGCGTCCCCCGTTGTCCTTGGTGGTCTCTCATAGTAGTAACCAGAGATGACCCAGCTGCATTTTACAAGTTCTGATGAGGCTGGGCTATCAGGCTGTTGCCCCCTGGCCCATTACCTTACACATATATAGGGTGTATCCTGTAGGTCCATGGATCCTTGGAACAAAGGACACATTGCTTCCAGTAGCAGAACACATCTTCAGGAGCCTGGCCCGCGCTGGTTTCTGAGTAACAAGCCGAGACCAATTCCTTAAATTATTAGCAATAGTGTTTTTATTGAAGGGAAACAAAAACAGACCCTTAATCAAGGATGTTTCAAAACCCAGCCAACAAGACTCTTCCTTGTGCAGGTTTGAAAAGCAAGCCTAAACACGGAAAGAGGCACAGGAAAGGAAGAACAGTGTCTAGGTAACAACCTCTTTTCAGCCCAGGATCCTTACCCCGAAGTGACTTAAAGTAAGCAGAGTGATGCCGATTGGCTTCAAGGAACCTTTCTGGGTCTCTACAGCAAAAGCTAATTCTTTGCAAAGATATTCTCATATCCTTTCAACAGCTGTGTATCCACCTAGTAACCAAAACACCCCTTGAAACTTGCCAGGTGACTCCATCTAACAAGCTGTCAAGTGCTCTTCCCTCAGCGTCTGTTCCCCGGACCCAACACCCCAAGCTGGCTTCCTTCCTCTGCACCGAGACTTCTCCCTGCCGGGAACTCTAATCCCGACAGCCACCCCTGGGCCCACTAAGGCAGCTGCAGCACACAATCCGTTCCTGGGTACGGGGGGAGGTTCAGCGAATACTTCTTCTGCAGGGCTGCGGGCACAAATCTGCCGCCGAGGAAATGGTAGCGGCCGGTGAACAGCTTTGCTGCTTTCTTCGGAGCGGTGAGAGAGATCAGCATGTCGGGCTGGATCCCGTCGGGCTTGCCTTTCTCCACATCCCACCCTGAAAATAAAGATGCACATAACTGGAACAAAGAAGCTGGTAACGGACAGGCACTCTGTTTGAAAACGCTGCAAAGCGAGTGCTTTAGAACATCAGAAGAGCCCTGCCGGGTCAGACCAGAAGTCCCATCTAGTCCAGCATTCTGTCTTTCACACTGGCTGACCAACTCCCCTGGATGGCCAACAGCAGGGCACAGGGGCCGAGGCTGTCCTCCAATGTTGCCTCCTGGCTCTGGAATTCGGAGGATTAGTGCCTCTGAATGTGGAGGTTCCCCTCAGTCACCATGCCTAGTCGCCACTGATAGACCTAGCCCCTAAAGCTGTCTGTTCCTGTGGCCATCACTACATCCTCTGGCAGCCAGTTCCACGTTGTAATCCCTCTCTGTGTAAAGAACGGTTTCCCTTTGTCTGACCTGAACCTACTTCCCAATATCAGTCCAATAATACACTCTTAAACATTAGTTATGTATGCCAATACTATTACTTTTATACTTGAGTACAGTATCTAAGTATACAAAATATTCACAAGGTATACAACCTAATCATACAATACCTTAATGTTATACAATAACACGGTAATACAACAAAATATCAATTGCTGCCAACAGCCAGAAGATACTAGTGGAATTCCAAAACATGTGTTGTCTACATTCTTTTGAAATATACCTTGTGAATATTTTGTATACTTCGATACTATAATCAAGTATAAAAGTAATTGTATTAGCATACATAACTAATGTTTAAGAGTGTATTATTGGACTGATATTGGCCCCAGTTTTGTTGTCTTTGGAGTTTGGATACTGGGAGGTCTGTCTTTTGGGTTTGGCTGAACCTACTTCCCATCAGCTTCACTGGAGGCCCTCGAGTTCTAATATTTTGGGAGAGGGAGAAAAAGTTCGCTTTGTCCACTCTCTCCACCCCAGGCATCATTTTTTTGAACCTCTGTCATGTCCCCACTTAAGTCGTCCCTTTTCTAAACTGCAAAGTCCCGGACTCGTCAGCCTTTCCTCATAGGGAAGGTGCTCCAACCCCCTTAATCATCTTGGTTGCCCTCCTCTCTGCTTTTCCTAACTCTGCCATGTCCTTTTTCCATGTGTTCTGTGTACAGTCCTTACAACAAACCAGTAAGGTACTTTCACCCTGCTTTCTCTCCCCAGTGGGGGGACATAAAAGTGGCTTTCATCGTCGCTTACCCTCCCTTCCTTTTTGCCAGAACAAAAGTTAGGTTAGGTCAGAAGCGTACGACTGGCCCAAGGTGACCCAGAAAGCTTCCACGGCAGAATAGGGATTCGAACCTGGGTCTCCCAAATCTTAGTCCAGCCTTCTAACTGCTACACTATGCTGGTCACGGTTAGCCCTTCAAACCAGAGACTTTCTGGTTCAAAGCTGAGTACCACGCTATCACAGTTCTTGTGTGGAATAAGATTTTTTTAAAAAACCAAGCGGCAGCAAACCAATATTAAAAGTCAGTACACATAAGACTCCAGCCCAAGCTGGACAATCTATATTGGTAAAAAGGTCTCTACAAAGTTGTGTGTGTGTGTTAAGTGCCATCAAGTCACTTCTGACATACGGTGCCAATGTTCCCTTTAAGCTGTGGAGTCAGGTGAGCAAAAATTTTACTTTGTGAGCTACTGGCATTCAAGTTGTGAGCGAGCGATTTGGCTACTGCATAAATTAGTTTGCTCTGGAGCCATCCTTCCTGAGAGAAGGCAAAAATGTGTGAGCCAGAGGCCAAAAAATTGTGAGCTAGCTCACACTAACTCAGCTTAGAGGGAACACGGACGGTGACCCTATGAATGAATGACCTTCAAAACATCCTATCATTAGCAGCCTTTCTCAGGGCTTGCAAACGGAAGGCCCTCCTGGCTTCCTGGACAGAGTCAATCCGTCTCCTCTTTTCTTGCTGCCTTCTGCTACCTATTTGCTTTCTCTTCCCCAATCCCATCACCACAGCTACCCTACTCTCAAAGGCACCTGCAAGCCAGAAAAGGTATCAGGGTGGGGGAATGAATCCCCTTGCAACTGGGATCTTGGTGATCCTCACTCTAACCCAGGAGATGATCAGGGTATTTTGCCTTTAATTATACCACTTTCCAAGAATAATTCACAAACACAGAGCCAAAAACATCAACCTAAAATATTATCCAATAACTTGAGTTGTAGAAGTGCTGGGAAAAGAGAAACCTTGACCCTACCACAGGTATTTTAAAGCACAAACTTGATTAGAAGAAGAGAAAATCTATGAAAATTATACTAGTTACAAAGGCTTGCATCCTATGAACATGTTCTATCACATGCACTGAATCCCGGAAGAGGACCCAGGCTATCTGGCATGCATGGAATTCACAGGATCCAAATCAGAAACATTTTCATTTTCCCACAATATAGCCAGTTTGGTGTAGTGGTTAAGTGCACAGACTCCAACCGGGTTTGTTTCCCCACTCCTCCACTTGCAGCTGCTGGTGTGACCTTGGGTCAGTCACAAGTTCTCTCAGAGCTGTTCTCTCAAAAGCAATTCTCTCAGAGCTCTCTCAGCCCCACCTACCTCACAGGGTGTCTGTTGTGGGGAGGGGATGGGAAAGAAGACTCCGAGTGAAGGGCGGGGTATAAATTCAATCTCCTCCTAAAAAAAATCTGACTCCATTCCACAGCTTTCCTCAGCAGAAGCGGCTCCTTATGGGAGTGCTCTGTCTTCTTGGTGCTTGGGGGGGCCAACAGTGGGAGGGCTCCTAGTGTCCTGGCCCCACTGGTGGGCCTCCTGATGGCACCTGGTATTTTTGGCCACTGTATGACAGAGTGTTGGACTAGATGGGCCTTTGGCCTGATCCAACATTGGCGTCTCTTATGTTCTTATGAGTGGAAAGCTTCGTCAGCACAATTTAAGATCTTTTTCTTTTTAATTATAGTTGTTAACGATCTTGGGTAAAGTTTCTGTAAGTGTGGATGATACTGTAAAACTCAACTCACACCATGATGGGAAGCCAGCCACCCCTACCCCCCACTCACCAGATGGGATATCGATGCTCACAATGGGGACAGTGACCTTCTCCAAAGTATCCAAGATGGTGCCGAAGGGTTCCCGCACAGTCCCTTGGAAGCTGAACCCAAAAATGGCATCCACCACCAGGCCGTAGACCTCATCAATCACTGCGGCCTGTCGAGCGAATGAAAGCCAGCAAGTCAGTGCGGGGAGGGGGGGGGAGCATGGCTACCTTAGGCAGACTTGTTAGCCGGTTAGACAGCTGATATACGTGGCATGAAGGAAATGTGCGCAAGGATAAGATGCAGAGACCTTGAGTGAAAGAACCACCAATCGAACAAAGGCCCGAAATTATTTTTTTTTGCCGCACCCATACATTTTTTTAAAATCATTTTTATTAATTTTAAATTAAAGCACAATACAGCGTAATACAGTGCATCCGTCTACAAGAATGTCATCTAAATGGAAGGGGTCTAAACCTACAAGGTTAACCACTTCAGATAAAGAGGGTTAGGGGGGAGAATATCCAGAACCTGTAAATAGGAGACCACAGGGAACCAAGTTGACACAAATGCGGAATGGTGTGGGGTATCTGATTGTGCACATCTGAGCGAATCAGCAATTTTTGCCATGACCAGGTGTTCCCATAGCTTTTCTTGCCAAGTCCGTCACTGATGGTGCTGCAGAAGACTTCCAGTTTGCAGCAATGGCCAGTCGAGCTATTGCTAACAGAGTTGATGTGAGTTCATTGTCATAGTCTTGAATAGAATCATCCCAGTGGTTTAACAGAAAGGATTTAGGTGAGAGAGAGAGATTTCGAGTTGGCTGCACCCATACATGACCAGTCTGAAAACAGAAGTCCCCCTGAGGCATGCTCTGATGAGAATTATTCCCAGTTAGAATGCGAAGCAGCCCCTTCTTTGCAACAGACAGTGCGGTGTAGTGGTTAGGGTCAGAGAAGGATCTGGGAGAACCTGGTTCGAATCCCCACTTTTGCCACAGAAGCTCAATGGGTGACGCTGGGCCAGACACACACTCTCAGCCTAACCCACCTCACGGGGTTGTTGTGAGGATAAAATGGAGAGGAGGATTATGTCGGCCACCCACTGCGGAGAAAGGTGGGGTATAAGTGAAGCAAATAAGTACACTGAGAGCCAGTTTGGTGTAGCGGTTAAGTGCGCGGACTCTCATCTGGGAGAACCGGGTTTGATTCCCTGCTCCTCTACTGGGAGCAAGCCATAGTTCTGTCAGAGCTGTCCTTAAAAGAACAGTCCTCGAAAGAGCTCTCTCAGCCCCACCCACCTCACAGGGTGTCTGTTGTGGGGAGGGGAAAGGAGTTTGTAAGCCCCTCTGAGACTCCCAAGTGAAGGGTGGGGTATAAATCCAGTCTCCTCTTTTTATGGCAACCCCGTGGGGTTTTCAAGGCAAGAGCCGTTCAGAGGTGGTTTCCTACTGCCTTCCTCTGAGCAGCAACCCTGGGCTTCCTTGGGGGCTTCCCATCCAAATACCAGCCAGGGCCGACCCTGCTTAGCTTCTGATGAGATCGGGCTAGTCTGGGCCATCCAGGTCAGGGCGACATAACTTACAAGCAGGAAAATATTCTCACTACTCATCAAATGAGACCCACAGTGTTGTGAGCTTGAACTGAACCCCATGATGTTGCAAACCTCCCCTGCCACACTCTGGAAGGTGGGCCTGTCTAGTTCAGCAGCATTTATTCTGATTCTTCAGCGTCTCAACAGAAAGGCTGAGGGGCCTTTTAACTAGAGACACCAGAGACTGATCTGCGCGCAGAGCACGTAGTAGTCTCCAACTTAGGCAGATCATGAGAGGGAGGGCAGGAAGGGCTGCATCAGTGCTCAGTACTCATGGCCCTTTCTTACACGCCCAGGGAAATGCCGATCACCACGTTGGGGTCAGGAAGCAATTTTTCTCCAGGCCAGTTTGGCTGGAGATCCTGGAGGTTTTTTCTCATCTTCTGGGCATGGAACAACGGTCTCTGTGGGTGTGGAAGGGGAGGTAATTGGGTTAGGCTGGCTGCGCCGAGGGCCAGGGCCTTCTCAGTGATGGCTCCACACTGGTGGAATGAGCTCCCAGAGGAGATCAGGGCCCTGCAGGACCTTTTCCAGTTCCACAGGGCCTGTAAGACGGAGCTCTTCCACCAGGCCTTCGACTAAGGAGCCACACTATATAACTGAGGCCCTGGCCCCAATATTATCATCATCATCAACAGCTTTATAACATCATTTAAACAGATTACACATCATACAACCCAGATTACGCTGGCAGCTGATTGTTTGTTTGTATTGTTGGGTGCCGCTTATGCCCACCATCACGTAGGAATCATCTGAGCACTAGCACTTCATACGTTCTTATGTGTTTTTTACTGTGATTTTAGATAAACTGCTTGTATTATTTTGTTAACCTGTGCGAGCCGCGCTGAGCCCGCTTCAGCGGGGAGGGCAGGGTAGAAATTAAATAAATTATTCCCTGCATTGTGCAGGGGGTTGGACTAGATGACCATGGAGGTCCCTTCCAACTCTACGATTCTATGACTAACTCAGTCACAGCCCCTGCCCACCCCAGTTAGATCCTGCTACCCTCTTCGCCGAAGATGGATCTTGGAGCCTTCTGTGTGCAAAGCATGTGCCAGCCCTACACCTCACAAAGAGGAAGGTATACGGCTGGCAGAAAGTGGCTTCCCACTAGGTGAGCGCACAGCAGAGCCGAGATTCAGAGCGGCAATTTCCAGCTTTGCAGCTCAACCCTTAGCCACGACCGGGGGCGGGGGGAAGGCCAGCACAGATTTCCTGGTTCTTGGGAAGCTCTACTCACTTCTGATGGGAACTCCGAGAGAAAAGGGATGCCCATCTTCTCGCACTGGGTGGTTAGGCCTTCAAAGAGCTGTTTGTTGGGGCGCTTGGGATAGTGCACCGTTGGCTCATAACCCTGTAGAAAGAGAATCCCCAGACAGAACAGGAAAGGGATATCTATTCATTCATTCATTCGATTTATACCCTGCCCTCCCCGCCAAGGCAGGCTCAGGGCCGCTTACATAAAAGTACGTCTATAAATACAATTAAAATCATTCATTAAAACACCATAAGTATTATATATTAGCTGTCCTAAAGTGCTGAAGCATTGTTCAAGTAAAGTGCAAGAGCAGAAGTTTCAAGCTTAACAGTACTACTTAGGTAGCAGTAGGGTTGCCAAGTCTTCTTACCTTGACAGCGGGGGAGCCTCGCTGGGCTCCGGGAGGTCTTCAGCAGTGCGTGCGCATGCACGTGCGCTGCCAGCACATTACAGGAAGTGACGTGCTACGTTGCTCATGTTGAGGGCGTGGTCCAGATCGTCGGAGGGAAAATCATATTTTCCCTCCGACGATCTGGGCCACGCCCCCAACGTGAGCGACGTGGCTGCTGCGCTTCGGGGGGGGCAGAGTTCCCCCCGGGGCCCAATTCCGCGGTGGCGGAAATCGGGCCTCCAAAGCGGGGGTTTCCCCGCCCCCACTTGGCAGCCCTAGGTGGCAGTCATGATGACATTTTCACACTAGCCCAGTTAATCCGATTATGTATGTGGCAAGACAGGCTGCGAGTTGTAGGCCAGGGCACAGGGTCACTTCTCAAGTGTTTGGTGCGGCTCCTACTCAAAGGCCTGGTGAAAGAGCTCTGTTTTACAGGCCCAGTACGGAGCCGCCACTGAGAAGGCCATGGCCCTGGTTGTTGCCAGCCTGGAATCTTTGGGGCCTGGGAGGGCCAGCCGGTTTTGGACCCCTGAACGCAGTGCTCTCTGGGGAAACGTATGGGGAAAGGCGGTCCCTTGGGTATGCCGGACCCTGTCTTTGGATGCTGTCTTAAATATAAATATTTGAATGCTGTCTTTCCCTTTGGACTCAAGGCAGCTTGCAACATATATTTCCTTAAAACCACAGTGCCACTCCTGCGTCACAGAAAACCCCACGTTTGGGGTTCTTGCGTCCCACAAAACGGCTCCAATTAACACCTTTCACAAGACCCAGCGAATTCTTCTTTAAAAAAATCATTAGTTGTGCTATGATGTCACATCCAGCTGCAGGGTGTGTGAAGAGAAAGTTAGTGCTCCCAAGTTTTCAGAAAGGCTGTGCACACCAGTTTCTTGTGTGGGGAGAGATTGTAGCCTCCTGAAAATACACTACAGTTTTACAGTGTTTAGTTATACCAATGCTCCCTCTAAGCTGTGGAGTCTTGTAAGCAAATATTCTACTTTGTGAGCTACTGGCATTAAAGCTGTGAGCAAGCGATTTGGCTACTGCATAAATTAGTTTGCTCTAGAGCCCTCCTTCCTGAGCGAAGATGAAAATGTGTGAGCTGGAAGGTAAAAAACTGTGAGCTAGCTCACACTAACTCAGCTTAGAAGGAACACTGATAACAACATACCCAAACCTATGTTACCACGGGGAAAGTGTGCAGAAGTCTGCTTGCTTCTTAAATGTATGAGCGAGCTCGGGCAGCCTAGTGGGTTTGAATGTTAAGACAAGGATCAGGAAGGAAATCCCTGCTCAACTATGAGACCTACTGGGTGATCCTTAGCCAGTCTCTCACACAACCTACCTCACAGGGTTGGTGTGAGGATAAAACTGATGGGGGGAGAAAGCCCCCCAGAGCTCCTTGGAAGGAAGGGGAAGATCTTTACTCAAGTGTTGTTTTTGTTAAATGGTATCTTCATTAAATGAAACGCCAAAAACAGAAACTGAAGAACTGCCTTGCCCACAATTGACTTTATTCATTAAAATTAAAGCAAAGAAACTAAAATTAAGGCACACACAAGTCTCTCAATCCCTCTAAGCTGTGGAGACTTGTAAGCAAAAATTCTACCGGCATTAAAGTTGCGAGCAAGCGATTTGGCTACTGCATGAATTAGTTTGCTCTGGAGCCATCCTTCCTGAGCGAAGACAAAAGTCTGTGAGCTGGAGGCTAAAAAACTGAGCTAGCTCACAGTAACTCAGCTTAGAGTGAACACTGCATAAGGGTAAGGGCAAAAATACTCCAAACATAATTTTTTAAAAAAACTTATCCAGTTCTGTTACTAATCTTTTAAGGTACACAAAAATGTGGTTTGGGAATTTTTGGAAATGATGGAGAAAAGGGAGAGAAGGCAAACAGGTCCTTAAAAAGATTGCTCTGGAAATGAAAATTTGTAGCTCAGGGAGAATGCATTCCCACTCAATATCAATAGTCTCTTAATACAGACAGCCCACACAGCCACGTGGGAAAATGTGAGGAATCCTGTCTCTTTTGGGGAGGGATTTCCAACCTTTGCCGCTTGTCTCAACAGGTGGCAGAAAGGAATTATCCAACAGCAGTAGTAATGCAGACAGCTGAACAACCACTTGATCGAATACCAAGGGGGTAAACCGCTCGTCTACTACGTAGGCCTGTTCTCCCTGCTGGATTAGACCAACTAAGCCCAGCACCATGTTTCTAACAATGTTTACCTAGATACTTCTGTGAAGTGCTCAAGCTAAGCAACACAGGTATACCACCTCTGTGAATGGCTTCATTAAGCTATCATGGATAACAGTCATGGTTTGATTTTTCCTCCTCCCTGAATGTATCTGATAACTTTTTTAAGCCACCACCACTTCCTTGGCAGCAAACGCCATAAGTCAGTAAATAAGATTAACTTACACATTTCTCATTAAACATGTTTTAAAAGGGTGTGTGTGAAATGAACTGAGCCCCAAATTATCAAGGACACTTTAAAATTACTTTTAACACACAAACTAGAGCTGGCATGGAAGAAGAAGAGGAGGAGGAGGAAGAGGAGGAGGAAGAAGAGGAGGAGGAGATGATTGGATTTATACCCTGCCCTTCACTACCTGAAGGAGTCTCAGAGTGGTTTACAATCTCCTTTCCCTTCCCCTCCCCTCCCCACAACAGACACCCAGTGAAGTAGGTGGGGCTGAGAGCTCTTTCAAGAACTGCTAATGAGAGAACAGCTCTGAAAGAATTTATGACTGACCCAAGGTCACACCAGCAGCTGCATGTGGAGGAGTGGGGATATCCACACGCAGGGGGCACCTTGGCTATTAGATATATAGATTGTGGTGGGCACAACCACAAAATGGCTGCTACACGACACACAGAGCCACACAAACCGTGAGAGCCCAAATGCAGGAGAGAAGGTAAATTTAAAAATGCACTAGAAAGAGGAGTTAAGAGTAAAACCAATACTGTGGTGGCAAGACAACATTATTTTCTTCAATCAAATCTCCAGGGGCCAATCAGAAGCCCTTCTGGGCAGGAGCCTCACCTGGCTCCACCCACTTTCTAAAACTACGGGTGTGGGCGGGTGCCACGGTGTCTGCAAGCACCACATTGGGGGGCCCGTGGTTTATTCAACAGTCCAATTCAATTTTAATCTGTGAACTTAAACTGATAAAAGCTCATCGCTCCAATAGACTGAGGCTTCTGTAATGGCGACAGAGATCAGTTCCCCTGCAGAAAATGGCCACTTTGGAAGGTGGACTCTCTGGTGTAGTGGTTAGGAGTGTGGACTCTAATCTGGGAGAACCGGATCTGATTCCCCACTCCTTTTCCACACGCAGCCAGCTTGGGTGACCTTGGGTCAGTCCCAGTTCTCTCAGAGCTGTCCTCTCACAAGCAGTTCTCTCAGCCCCACCTGCCTCACAGGGTGTCTATTGTGGGGAGGGGAAGGGAAAGGAGATTGTAACCCGTTTGAAGACTCTGAGTGAAGGACAGGGAATAAATCCAATCACCACCACCACCTCCTCTTCTTCCCTCTCCTCCCCAAACCCAACTCTCCTCAGGCTCCATCCCCAAAATCTCCAGGTTTTTCCCTACCTAGCACTGGCAATCCTATATGCATGTCATGTTAGCCACAGCCACCGGTGGGGGGGAGATCCTGCATTACAATAAACATATGCATACCAACAATAAACGTCGAAATGCACATCGAAAGGAACAATGGATGAGAACACTCACAAACATTTTTAGGTGCCGGGCACAAACCAGACCATCTCCACCGTTGTTTCCCGGGCCGCACACAATCAACACAGCCGGCTGGCTGACTGTGAAGGAGCTGGCTGGGTAGGCCTGGGGGTGGGGAAAAGAGAAGAAACATGCAGTGTTGGGTGAAAAGGAAGAACCGCCACGGGTTTTTTTTTAAAGTTTTTATAAATTTTATATCAAACAAAAAACAAACACATACATATAAGTTTGGGTATTCCATATACATCTTTGTTGTATCTAGGAGAACCACCAAGGTTGATGAAATGGCACGGAAAACTCACAACTGCAAGTCTTGAGGCAGAATTCCATTTCATGAGAATCTTCACGTAGTTGCAAAAAAACCCAAACCACAAAAATCCAACCCTCCTCCCCAGACACCCCCCCCAAAGAAAGCACAAAACATAAGCCAAAAAACAAAACACACACACACACGTTTCTATCCCTTATAACTTTAAAAAAAAGTTTTAAACTGTCTGGGGAAGTCCTGGTCAAACTGCAAAAGCCAAAGTTGGCTAACTGATGCTATGCACTGGTGTGTGTGAGAGTCACAGTAGGAGTGTGATCTGAACTTCCAATTTCTTAACTTCAGGTGTGCAGCCGTGTTGGTCTGAAGCAACAGAACAAACTTTGAGTCCAGTGGCACCTTTAAGACCAGCAAAGTTTAAGTCTGGGTAGAAGCTGTGGTGTGCATGCACGAACCAGTTTCTTAACTGTTAGACTACAACTGCTTTGTGGAAGGCATTCAAAAAAGAAACTCTAGCTGGGTCTTTGCAACTCCAAAAAAACAGGGAGTTTTGCAGTTTGCTCCCGGGCCTGGCTGCAGTTTTAAATGCTGCTACACTTGAGCTGCGGTGGCTCAAGTGGTTAAGACGCTGAACTGCAGGCTGTGGAAGGTCAGTAGTTCAGCAGTTCGAGACCCGGGTGTCGCATGATGGACTGAGCTCCCGTCTCTAGTTCCAGCTCCTGCCAACCTAGCAGTTTGAAAGCAAGAAATTGCAAGTAGATAAATAGGTACCACTTCGGTGGGAAGGTAACAGCGTTCCGTGCGCCTTGGTGTTTAGTCATGCCGGCCACATGACCACGGAAACGTCTTCGGACAGCGCTGGCTCTTCGGCGTTGAAACGGAGATGAGCACCGCAACCCTAGAGTCGGATTCAACTGGCTTTCGAGCAAGGGAACCTTTACCTTTACCTTTTTCTACTGGCAGATGCCACATCACTTACATTGCCAATGGCTGTGGCACAACTCAAACCGGCCAGTTCCATCAGCTGGTCGACGCTGAATTTATATTGCTCGAACAGTTCCTGATCAATGGCCTGGGCTTCCTTTTGGCTGTAGGGGAGAAGGAGGATCTTTTAAGCACACATAAATAACCCCCAAAAGAATTGACATGTTATACAACAGGATATGGAATGGTATGGTATCACCCAATCTTGTCAGATTTCGAAAGCTAAACCAGTTTGTTGTAGTGGTTAGGAGCGTGGACTCTAATCTGGGAGAACCGGGTTTGCTTCCCCACTCCTCCACATGCAGCTGATGGTGTGACCTTGGGACAGTCACAAGTTCTCTCAGAGCCATTCTCTCAAGGGTAGTTCTCTCAGCCCCATCTACCTCACAGGGTGTCTGTTGTGGGGAGGGGAGGGGAAGGGAAAGGAGATTGTAAACCACCCTGAAACTTCGGGTAGTGAAGGGCGGGGTATTAATCCAATCTCTTCTCCTCCTCCAAACAGTGTCAGTACTTGAATGGGAGACTACCAAGGAAGACTGGATTCCGGTTTATGGCGACATGCTGGCGGACACATCTCCTGGACCTCCCGGGGATGTGATCTGCACACCAGCGGAAAGGAGGGGGTGACGGGTAGCTACCCCCCCGGAGCCTTGGCAAAAGGCTCCTAGCCATGGGGCTTTTGAGGGGTGGCCTCTTCGCCAGCGCGATGCTGGGGAATTGAGGCGCTCCTCCATCCCGACGGTCCTGCCACTGAGTGTCCGTATGGATCTAGAGCCGCTGACCGGGACAAGCGCTGGAGATAGAGCGTTTTGAACGTGTGCCGAGCGAGGTCGTATGACCAACAATGAACTGTGAGTCAGGTTAAAGTGAAACGAAAATATAAAAAGAAAGCTACCCCCTGGGAACGGCGAAAAAAGCGAGCGGGGGAGGGGGCCCTCCCATACGCATGAACTATACAACGAAATACAAAAGGGGGAGCGGAAGAAAAAGCGTTGAAATCTGTTTTGAGAGACTTACCAGAGCGCGGATAAGCGTAAGGGCGTATTTCAGAAACTTTAGCAAGTTTCCATAAAAGTAAACAATCCATAAAGATGGCAGGGAAGAGGGCAGAGAAAGACAAACCAGCAAAAGTGAAACCAGCCGGGATCTTGAGCTCTCGACCGGAAGAGACCACTGAGTTCTCTAAAATGTTGGCAGATTCCTTG